GCGATTGAGAAGATGTTGGACGAAAGATGTTGTGGTGAACAGTGGAAATAAGACTTAAGTCCTGGCGAAACGCGCTGACAACTGAAAGAGTGAAGAACACAAACACGACACAAGAATAATAAAACGCAAAGACAGTTCTGTGAAAAAAATTAAACCATGGCGCTTGCAGCGTGAAAACACGGTAGGAGATCACAGACTTCGAGAGACAAGTTCCAAGATTACGACGGGAAACTTCTGGAACGGTCACTAAAAAATGGTGAAGTACGGGCGAGATCGAGAGAGAAACTCATAATATATGAAAGTATAAACTTCAAGATGTAGTAAAGAATAGAAGAAGAAAATCATGTTGCATGTGATCGAACTCGGAGCCTGCTAAAAGCAGTTGACAAAAAAGCGCGGCTGAGCGTGACGGTTTTGGAGCAGGAGGCGTTGATGACTGTGACATGTAACTAATCTGACGGAGCTTCAAGTTACAGTAATTGTGACTTCGAGAATCCTCATCATCTGTGTGACTGGACTAGACTAGAGTAGGTAGACGACAGCACAAAAAGACAGCAAAAAGATCACAGTGACTGAACATAAAAAGCATGTATCTCTGACATCTGTGTCCGAATGAGCAGATAATTTAATACAAATAATTAGCAAGCACAAGAAAACCAATCAAAAAAACATATTCCTTCAAATATCGACTAATCAAGGCAACGTTTATTAGGCGATATTTATATCTGAATAACTTTCGCGCAAGATGAACTAACAAAAAATTCATCGGAAAGATTCGTTTTATTACCATGATATGAAATTGACAAAGCTTAGACAAAATTAAAAGCTCATCATCTACTCAGCTACATAAAAAACATATAATATGACAACCATAGTCAAACAATATAAAACTTGTATAAAATAGTTCTCTGTGGACATTACACCGATTAAAGCCGGTACAGTCTTTTGCACTTTTGATGGGAGTGACACCTCGCAGCTTTGTAGGTGCAATTGCCGTATTCAATTTCATACAATTACTGGATTTATTTGTATATATATCTTCAAAGATATATTCAAAAGCAAAAAAAAAAAAAAAAAGAAGATTCTATCAATTGGGTTGAGTGTTATACGTAAGAGCTTCTGTAACTAATGTTTTTCATAGAAGAAATTTACTACCACATGTATATGATGAGTAATTTCAGATGGAAAATGTCACCACCGTCTTCTTCTCAATTAGAACAAATTGATCTTTCATTTTGTTGAGAAATACCAACTTGTCAACAAATGTAATTGTTTAACTTATAACGAGGTAGGTACCCGATTTTAGGCAATCAGAATGCAGCCGGATGCTAAATTCCAGTTCACTGGCAGTTCACTAATAGTGCTAATGACCTACCGAGTCAAGAACAACGCCTTGAATCTACAAAACTCACAGCAAATTACAGTGATAAGACTACGACGAAACAGAAACTAATGGTGCTAAAACAGCACTTTCTCGCATGTACTTTCACGCAAAATTACGCGAAAAGTATTCAAATTTTCGAAAAGTTGTACACGACCTTATTTCAAAATCTAACATTAAGGAACAGATTTCTTCAAGGGAAAAAATCTCTATCTTTAATATTTTAGATGTAGGAAGACTGAGAAAATATTTTTGAACACTTGCTATTTTCGAAATATCAGGGTTTTCAATGATCATGAAATTTGCACCATTCTCTGAAATGTCATTTACACTACCTTACAACAAAATTTAATCCCAAAATTTGGAGCCATTTTTTTTTTGGAAAATATCTAAGGAATTTCATGTAAAGACCCCCCCCCCAATTAAAAGATCGTTACAAATTCAAGGGGCCGTGACATGAGACAGATCGATTGGGGAATATCAATTTTGGAGAAAATCGGCTAAACGGTTTAGTCACTAGCGTTGTTCACAGACAGGCAGACAGATAGAAGGACAGACAGGCAGAAGGACAGACAGATGGATGGACGAACAGACAGATGTTTTGTTTGCCGTCATTTAAGCTTTCGGTATCAAGTACCCACAAAACATGGATTCCGGCAACACCACGTGTTGGAGGATTTGTTTTCGCTAAATTTAGCAACTGGATTATCCATCTATTCGTAACCAGGGCCTTGTAATAAGAGTTATATGTCGAAAATTCGTCGTTTTCCCGCAAAACATTACATAACTTTATCTCTATTCCGTCGTAAAGAAAAATACAAAAATTACTCTTTCTAAGGGAAGCGATTTTTCTGAGGTCAAAACGGTACATGAATTATTTATTGTTCATACTACCAGAAACACATTGGTGTTGTTGTTTTTTTTTTTACTTGAAATGACTCATCCTGTATAAGCTTGGCTTCGGGTGTGAGACAATGCTGGTGGCAGTTGTAAGAGTAGCCGGTGGAGGCGGCACGGACGCGGGGCGGGACAGCTGGGCGACAGCGGCCCCCGCGGGGCGACACCGCCGCGCCGCTCGCGTCGCCCACGGCACCCGGAGACCTCCGGGGGAGCGAGCGGGGGGGGGGGAGGCGCGGGTCGAAGTTGCCTCCGGGCCGATACCCGCACCGCACGGCGACGTCGGGCCGCTCAGCCGCTCCGCTCCCCTCCCGTGGAAGGGCGCGTCATGGTTTTTGCCGCCGCATTCCACGCGTCGCCGCCCCCGCCCCCGACCCAGCCGCAGCCGCCACCCTTCCACGCCCCCGCTGCTTCCCCACCCAACGGGAGGAAGTCCTATACTTGGAAACCGCTCAAATGTAGCTTTTTATTTTCCGACGATTTGAGAAATGCTGAAACGGTCCCGTGAAAAAACTGGACCATTTCATTCCAGCGGTTCGGATTGGGTAATGCCACAAAACAGGTTAAATACATCGAAATTTCTAATCTAAATAAGACTCGATCACTCTGCCGTATTTAGTTACCATGCTGATCTCTCGTTCATAAAGTCAATCTGATAAACATTTTGTGAATGTTTTAAAATTTCAGTCACTTTTGAGATGTGGCTTTATTATGTTATCAGTTCCAAGCTTCGTAGCCACACTGGGACAGTCCGCATTATTGTGATGGACTGGTCATAATGTTATATGATACTCGAGCAATGGTGCAATGTGAGGTATGGGAAACTGGAAGATCTCGAGAAAAACTACCGGCAACTCCCGCTGTCACATGTTCACAAGAGGTGAAAGTCGAACAATCTGACCACGACACCGCGGGTGGCCCTTTAAAAACGTGACTATCATTCCCTTAAAGGGCGACAACCTGTAAGAAATCGGTGCAATCAGGCGTGCGTTGAATTTTACCCCAACCACCACCGACCCGCCCAGCGACTCCATCTCCAACACAGCCTCAGCTGCCATCCCTAAACGACCCTTCGTTTTCCCATTGGAAGGTCATATACGCGGGCAGCTCAAATCAAAGCACAAATGATACATTTTTTAGAAACAGAAACATTTCAGCACAGCTGCTCGTTGATTGAGGAGCGAATTAAATAAGTTTTGCCAACAGAGTAAGTCCAACAAAACATTTGCAATGATTTGAGAAATAAATAAAAATACTTGAAATGTTTATACAATGAAATATATTTCTCTCGAGTTTCTGAAGAATTTGGTCAATTTTCCGGGGATTTGAATCACATCTTTTGGAACGATACCCCGCCCCCCAAAAAAAACTTAGTTACAGCCGCCCCACTTACACATAAATCCCACTTAACAGACATCCCTTTTCCTATAAGGAAGTCAAAAGGAGTGTCTCAGGATTCTCACTATAGCTCGTTTCCAATATATTCACGAGTCCCTTGTCCTCATTGATCGTAGTAATTTTGTATATTGTTTCATGATGATTGTCACTTATTACGGAATATGGCAAATATAAATTTGATGTATTAACGTTATGGAAGTCGTTACATTAGCAGATTTAGAGTCAACACAGTACTTATTAATATAACCGTTACTAACTCTATTTCTGTAGCTATAAATTACCTTCACAACTATTGTCACCAACACTACGAGAACTATCATAATCACCACACCAACAACTAAAACCCACCACAAAAACCACTACTACAACCATTGTCACCAACACAACGAGAAAGATCATAAAGACCACCCTAACCCCAATAAATAGATCCCATTAACATCTACCAACAACACTATTCCTCAACGACACCAGTAAAACAACCTCGCTCCCGGCACCTCCGCTACGCCCCACCCCCATCCCATCCACGCGTCCACGGGCTCGCCGAGCGGTCGCCGCCCTCTTCCCGCTGGCCCCGGGGAGGGCGCGGGCCAACGCACCCCGACGCCCCACCCCTCGCAGACGGCGCGGCGGGTGGGCGGGCGAACGCGGGCGCGCGACAGTTGGGGCCCGGGTGAGGGCGAGGACGAGGACAAGCCGCACCCGCATCCCCAGCGAGCGGCGCCGGCGGGAGGGGAATTGTAGCGGCTGGCTACTCTGAACGGTGGATTTCCGCGTTGGTACGTTCTTGGCTACCCGGGATGAGCCGCGTCTCGGTCAGTTGTGCTGACGTTTCGGTCATCTTGCTGTGGCCTTTTTCAAAGCTATAAATTACTAAGGGATAACGTACCTCGTTACACAACCCATACTATTCAATTGTCTGGTCTTCTTCACAAATTTTCTGTTATTGAAAGTATGTAGTCTCAGTGTTCTGATAGATTATATCCGGATATCGGCTATAGGATTGAAAACGAATGATCAATTACTTTAAATAACTAAGAAATAAGTACAAAATATTCAATAAATTTCAATTGCAAGAAGGAAGATCGTAGCACAACACTCCGCAGTATTTACGTGTTACAACTCAAATTTTGAAATAACTGCCCACCCGTCTTGATAAATTTTTAAAGCCAGTACGTCAATGCTTTTATAACAATTGCTAGAAAATGCAGGTGCAGTGTTTACGAATAAGGACGAATCGGCTTACTAGAAGTCCACTACAATTATTTTGTTTATTGGTCAACAAACAAGTCAACAAACATATTTTTTCCCAGAAACAAATAATACATCACTCCTGTAACGTTTCTATGAAAATAATTTTCAAAGAAAACTAATAAAATGTGATCGTTTCTGAATTCATGTTAAGGCATATTAAACATTTTTCATCAGTTTTGGGTTCAAGCGAGCTGTCATATTCAGGATATACTGATTACGAAAACCCGATTAAACTTCTGTCGAGATCTTCAAGATTAACGAAGAAAGAATGGAGTCTCCAAACTAGTTAAATTCCCCGGGCAAGAAAACACAATCTCTCGCACTTCCCCGAGGAAAAACATTGCGAGAATACGATATTTCTATCTTGACACGTTCCACTCCACACGCCTGCGTTTTCTGAGACAGAAAAAGAAGAAAAAGCGGAGCGAAGACAGCTCCCGGGTGACGGCGAACTACGTAGATCCGAAAGAGCGAAACAGAAACTTGGCAACTCGCTGACGAATCAAATATTCCCCAAAACAATCCACTTCCTTCCAGAGAGCGAACGTCTGCGTAATCTTCGCACCAGCCGCCTCTTTCGCTGCTCTCTCGCTGAGGCGCCGGCGTAGGGAGGGAGGCGGCCGGCGGCGAAGGCAAAGGCGGGCGAGCAGCGCGCGCTAAAAATAACTGGGAGGCGGCGATGAGGCAGTAAGGTGGCGAATGGGTGTATGAAGCTGTGGGAGCTAGGTGGGGTGGGGCGGTGGGGGAGGGAAAGGGTGGGGTGTAGTGGAAGGTGGGGGTGGCGACTGAGGGTGTCGGTAGCGTGGGCGTGACGGAAGGTAATGGCGTGAGGTGACGTACGGGTAGCAGTAGGGATGGCGGTGGTGGTGGATTGGCGGTGGCAGTGTCCTAGCAGTAGAGTGGGAGTTGCGGATGGTCGCGAGGAGTGGTGAGGCCGGATGGTGGCTGGGGGTGGCGGAGACGGGTGGCGGTGGTAGTGACAGCTGCTGGTGATCGCGTAAAGCTTCGATGACGCAAAAGGGTGGCTGAGTGTTTTGGTGGGAGTGGCGATGGATGTGGCGGGGGTGCGGGGTGAGGTGGCGGTGTGTGTGGGTGTGGCGGTTGCCTTTGAAATCGATGGATGATGCCAGAAGGTTCCTGAGTGTTGTGGTGGTTGGAGACGATAGGATTGAATGTGGCGGTAGAGATGGCGGTTAGGATGGCGTTGGGGGAGGCAGTAGAGATATCGATGGCGCTGGCGTTGGAAGCATCGATGTTGCAAGTAGCAGCTATCTTTTGTGGGGGGGGCGATGGGTATAATTGTGATTGGTATAAGTGTTGCCGAAAACCAAGATAGGGAGAAGGAAGAGAAGATCGATATAGAAGCAAAACATGCGGAGGTGGCGGAGGCTGAGGAAAGCGTGAAAACGGATGCAGAGGTATGATAATGGTAGAAAATGAGGGAGAGATAGAGTTGCAGATGGAAGCAGAGATGGGAGCGGAGACGGGTGCGAAAATGCAGACTGAATGGAGGTAAAATTACGGCGATGTAGGAGAAAGGAAAGTCCTAAACTGATGGAGGCGGAGAGGGAGGAGGCGAAATTGGGGTTGAGCACCACAGCTTGAGCGGTGCCTTCTCAAACTCACGGGCTGAGAGGCTAGACATGAACAGAAGATATACAAATATGTGTAGACTAATAAATTCAAATATTGAAGTTCCTAAAGATCGCTTTCAATTTTCCGTGTCATTCCAAGGTGGTCTCCAGCCATAACTATAAATTGACGTTATAAGTGTATCACAATTGTGTGGTAAGTATAAAATTTTAATAATTGGATTACCAGAAAACAAAGAATTAGTAAGGAATAGCAGTATATATTGTGCTGATTGGCAAGTAAGTTTCCAATACTTTAACTTCATTCTCCACATACACACAACATGAGGCTTTTTGGTTGCAAGAGATAATGTACAATATTTAAAAATTCATCGTGTTACCCGCATCATTTAATTGCATTAAGCGCAGGGCTATTGATGGGGCAATCTCGTTTGTTGGAACGAGCAGGGTTTCCTCGTTACAAGAGAATATTCATATCTGCGTCATAATATATTAGAGTGAAATAAGGACCTATAATAATTAACAAACACAATTAAATTACAAAATGTTAACTAATTTAGTTCACGTAATGCAATAATTAACCAAATTAAATCTAGTAAAGCTCTTCCAATATCCAGATTCCTAGCAAACAATTCAAATTCACAGTCAGCCACCAAGTGACCTATGCAGCTTCTCCATTGTTGCCCAGTAACGAAACGAACAATATAGAGGCTTTCCCAGAGAATTTGTTTTCTCAAAATATTACTCATTTAAAGTAAAATAGTGCGTTTTCTCATAAAATAAAGATGCGACAAAAGACACCTCGAAAAAACACTTACGCAAAATGAGGTAAAGATGATCAAATCAACTCAAGAGTTACAACAAATACACTACGACAGGGTGCGACAGACACCGGGACGTGGCGAGGTGAAGAGGCAGGGAGCGGGGCAGGGAGCGGAGCGGGGAAGGGTGAGTGGGTCGGATGGGTAAGGCGGGGTGGAGCGGGGCGAGCGGAGCTGGACGGGTACGGGCGGAGAAGGGTAGGGCAGGGCAGAGGGGGTAGAGCAAACAAGAGCAGGGTACAGCAGGGCAGGGCAGGATAGAACGCAGAGGTCTGGTTAGGGCGAGGAAGGGGATATGACTTTTGTGTGACTTGGGAGACTGCGTCGTTGGCTGAGAGGCCGACGTTTCGTCGGTCATGTCGCAGGCTTCCTCAGGGCAGTGAACGAGTTAGGGGATAGGGTGGGATGGAACGTGGCAAGGCGGGGTAGGGTGGCGAAAAGTGGTGGGATGTAGGACGAGACGAAACGTGAAGAAGAGACGAAGCAATTTGATCGAAGATAATGTGGGTTGAGACAGGATAGGGGTCGGGGCGAGACGGGGCGGACCGCGGCTTGGCTGAGAGCGGGGTTACAGGAAAGATATAAGAAGGGGGAAGTGAGGCAAAGGTGGGCGTATCGACCGAATCTACGATATAAGGGGTGGTTGGTCTAGTTGGATGGGGCGGGGACCGCCGGAACCAAAGTTCAACGGTGGAGTGGCGGGTGATCGCATGCTGGAAGCGTGGCAGTGGCGGTGCAAGTGGCAGTAGTGGAGGAAGACGGCGGCGCGACGCGATGCGGGTGCGGGGGGGACCGCTGGCTGGCGCAGTGGTGAGAAGACGGTGCCGGTGGGCGCTGGCGCGTGCGAGGGTGGCGGCGCGGGTGGCCGGCGCGGTGCGGCGCGGTGACGGTGGCGGTGCGGTGGCGATCGTGGCGGTGAGTGACGCGTGGACGTGGCAGTGGCGGTGACGGTTACGGTGACCGGTGACGCGTGAGGGTGACGGTGACGGTGAGCGGGGGGTTAGTGGCGTGGGCGGTTGCGCGGTGGCGATGACGTGGCGGTGGCAGCGCTGTGGCGGTGGCCGGTGGCGCGGATGGCGGTAGTGCGGCCGCGTCTCCGGGCACGTGGCCAAGAGACGAGCCCACATCGCCGCCGCCGCCGCCGTGCGGTGAGACAGAGGCGCAGAGCCGCTCGGCCGCGATGCCGCGCGCCCGGAGGCATAGCGGGGTCTGAATGGCTCGCCAGAGTTACGCGGAACTCGGCGCGGCGCTGCGAACGACCCGGTCGAGGCAACGGCCCCACCATTTACAGGCGCCTACGCCTGCATGGGCGAGCCTCGCCGCACAAAGCACGGAACGAGAAATATTCTCCAGAACTTACAGGGTAGCTGCGGACCTAATGAGAGGTGAGTATATTTAAATGTGTTGTCTAATAATAATTATTGTTGACATAGTGCAGTAATTTTTATTTCCCTCACCGTGAACAAGAAAATGATTTCTCATTTTATGTACTAGAAATCGCAATTTTATTAAATTATTGAAGAGTTTGGGTGTACACCCAGGTAAACTACGTGAAAACGTTAGCGAGATAGAATCACAGCGCATGGTCGGCAGATGGAAACGTACGAAAATTTTAATAACACAGGAGCTATAACTTTGAGTGTTACGATATTTTACTCCGAATCCCTCCAATTAGTCCAGCAAGGCAATTCAATAGCAATAATATGAATGGTATTGTCCCTTTGGGTTACAGGACACTACAAGTTAGAACATTTCTAGAGGAACAATACATAAAAGTATAGCTTACCTACGAAAGAACACTGAATATTATTGTAACGTACTATCTGATTATATAGATAATAATTCAATTTTGCATTGATTAATTTAGCAAGAATTAAATGACAAAGCTCTCTTTCATCTGGAATCGATTGACCAAGCTCTCCAATGGCTTAGTGAAGGCATGCATTGTCTACTAATGCACCATGTGCTCCTAATGATTTTATATTCGTTTTGGCAAGGCTCACTTCTCGTGACCAAGGAGTTCGGTCGTAATTTCACTGTTCTTTTATAATATGAAAAGGCTCTTCCTATGGGGTGCATGTAAACCCTAATCAATACGCCAAAAAAATTCGGAGAATGCATTCATATTGAATGAACGCGCAGCACGCTTTGCAATTCAAATCTGAAATGAATATGTAACTTCAATACTTACTAAAGGACAGATATGCCACGTCACTGCAATTGTATCGCCATTAGTAGGCTGTATATCGACACTTACAAACAAAACAACTGCGGCGAAGATACATTGAAAATTCGTTCGATAAGCCAACAATAAATACTCTATAAAGGTCAAAGATAAAGAAAAAAGTGTCATAACAAGAATTTGAGACCCACCACACACTCGTTTTTTGTCCGTTTTTCAGCTGTTCTAAAATGCCAAGACTAGAGATTATTTATTGCTAGTATACTGATTAAAGAAGAGTGATATCAGAGCAAATTTTGTTTTGAAAATCGTATTCCATCCATTTGGAACGTTTTGAATACTTCATTAAAATTATCACAAAATCACTCCAAAATAAAGTGAAAGAGGTACACAGCGAAATTGACTAATGTAATTTTCTTTTTTTCCTAAATTATATTAGAAGTATTTTAAACATTAAATTCGTCATTATTAATATTATTATGGCATTAACGATCATTGCTCCTTCCTTAATCTTTCGCATTATTACTGCACAAAAATGAAAAAATAAACACAAATTTGTATTAAGCACGCGAACACGTTATCAGAGAAAACTGCAAGAAATTGTACGAGAAAAAGAATCGAATCAAACAGTAAAGCATGCGAACGCACATCGGCGAGATCACTTAAATTCCACCACGAGCCCTCAAACGTCCAAAAAATCCACTTAATTAGGACCACTTAAAAACAATTCCGACGCACTCGAAAGAGACGTAAGTGGTGGCGAAACACAAGGGAGGGGAAAAAATGAATTCTTGTCCATGAAAACCCGCTGGATGCTTTACAACCGGCGAAAGAGGGTTACGGTGGAGGAAGGTGGGAGGAGGGCCGAGGGCGGAGGGCGGAGGGCGGAGGGAAGAGAGATGAGGGCGCCGCAGCTCACACGCAGTCGCAAGAAAGAGCAGCCAACGAAAACAGGAAATACGGACGGTGGAGATACAAACAGAAGCCCACAGGCAGAGTCCAACCATCAACGTGGCTAGATCCCTCCTTTGCGCTCATTTGGAAAAACTGGTGTACACACGCGATTTCAAAACTTAATTCGTACCTCCTGGGTTGGCAACACATGAAGGATTTATATGATCCGGATTTAGGACGTACTGAATCATTTGTGACCGATAAATTCATGAAAAAATAACCGATTAAACAGAAAACGAATTAACATACAATGTAGGCTTTTTGATATAGAAAACGAATTACTTATTGCTAGACTTTCATTAGAACAAATATCGACTTTGAGAAGATCTTTCGTTAAATAGCAGGAAAGATCTCGGCTTCGACTTGAGAAAGACTGTGACGGAGATACAATTTTCAGGCTCAATGCGAATTCCGGTGCAATGCGAATTCCGGTCCAAGTTTTGTATCCAAATTTCTTTTCAGATTAGTAAATTAATCATTTTAACAGCCAAGGTTATGTTTTATTTAATACCACGTAAATCCAATTCCAGTTCTCAATCACCTAATTGCGTAGTGAGTGTGTGTGAGCATGCATGATAAATACACAAAATCCTCAATTCTCACATTAAATGGTTACGAATTCAAAACAACGTACAAAATTGTTTGTTGAATAAGTTACCTTTGAAGAAATGTTTCAAAACATTCATTTTAATTACGAGAATTTTCGGGAAAAATAACAACACAAAAGCTAATTTTAAAAAGCATTATTCGTGTATTTTATTATTAAATTGCATTCATATACTTTTTCGGCCTAAATGTAACATAAAAAGAGACTAAACATGTGAGTGAAATTTCATTCAACCGCATACCATATACATTCTGTGTTTGTTTCACTGCAATGTACTAATGTAATCGGAATAAAATGTAACGGTATAAGGCCAACGTAACATGAATTTCATATACAGCAGAACTGTCCTATCTCGAAGAATAAAAGAAAGAGTTTGAGTAATCTAGGATTTCGACTGATCAAAGTTTATGATTTCGGTCACGTGAACATAAAAGCAAAAGGAAAATAAAACATTAAGACATATCGGGAAATCACAATTAATATTCGTGAGGTGTGTCAGAATTATGAAAATATTGTGCCATCCCATACAATAATTCTTATTAACTCTTCTACATGAAGAATGTTCCTTAACGCACTGACTTTGTTTAAAATAAAACGATATAAAAAAAACGACGTCTACATGAGTTCAGTTTTCATTGACTTTTCTGAATGAATCAGACAAAACAAACACACGTGGATTCCACAGGCGAAAGCAAAACTCACACCTCGCGTGTCCAACCCATTCCATCCCAGCGTGTCCCACTTCTCGTCGCGGTCACCCAAAGAAGGCAGAGTCTTCTGGAGTTCGTGGGCCGCTGTTGCCCCGGCGGCGGCGGCGGCGGCGGCGGCGGCGGGGGGCCATTGCGTCACGCGTTGAGAAACGGCTGCCCCCACCCCACCCTCCGCGGCCGCACGCTGCTCGGCCGGTGCCCCGGCGCCCGCAGCGATAAGCCGGCCGCGACGCCCCGACGACGCCCGGGCGAGCGTGCAAGTGGGCGGTGTGGAGGGAAGTGTGGCACTAGTGCAGCGGGTTCTACGGCAGGTAAAGTGGCGGGTTGAGTGGCACGAGGTACGGCGGGAAGGGTAGCATGGAGGATCGGAAGTAAGTCACGTGGTAGGTATACGAAGGGTCGAAGTGGTGCGCTGCTGAGGGCGTCGTCCCGAGGGGGAAAGAAGGATGATGTTAATGGATTGGAGGTGGTGGGTGTTATAATGGTGAGCGGATAGTGCATTATGGCGGTGAGCGAGTGGGGTGGTATGGTGGCGGATAGGGTAGAATGGTGGAGAGAGGGTGGTAAGGAATGATAGAAGACGAATGCTTTGGGATGGTGGAAGGCGGATGCTTTGGTATGGAGGTGGGCGAGTGGTGTGCACTGATGAAGGGCGGATGGTGAATGGAAGGGCGGATGTTATGGTGTGGTTATGGGCGAGCGATGTGATATGGAAACGGGCGAGAGGTGTAGTATGGTATGGTGGCGGACGAGTGTTGGGGCATTGTGGTGGACGAGTGGTGTCGCATGGTGGCGGACGGGCGGCGCGGTATGGCGAAGGGCGGGTGATATGGTATAGTATGGTAAAGGACGGATGGTGTGGAATGATGGCGGGCGAGATGTGTGATAGTGTGAAGGACGGGTGGTGTGGTATGCTATGGTGGCTGGCAGGTGGTGTCGTATAGTATAGTATAGTATGGTATGGTATGGTATGGTATGGCCTGGTATGGTATGGTGTGGTGTGTAGGTAGGCGGGTATTGTTGTGTGGTAAGGTATGGTGGCGGGCGGGTGCCGTGAAGGCGGGCAGCAAGGACGGAGGAAACAGTAAAGATGCAGCAGGGTCTTCTGAGGGAGGGGGAGGGGGAAGGGGGCGGCGGACCGCTCGTGCCGTCCATTCACGCGGCCGTCCGCTGCGCTCTCAGCGGCGTCCTGTGCGCAGGTGAGCGAGCTCTCTTCGTGGGAGGAGCGCGGCCCCTAACTGCTTTCACTGGCAGGTGCGAGCAGCCAGTCCATTCTGGTGCCGAACAAATAGCCACTTTGACGTGTTAGAATGAATGGCTGTGAAGAGGCGAGGTGCTGGTGGTCACTAAATTTTTCAGGACGCCGCGCCGGGTTTGTATTTTACTACTGCGTTCTGCAAGAGATTGTTCCTTTCTCTAACACGGTCGTAAACCAGCCAAATAATAGAAATCTTATTTAGAAATGCAATTTCGATATTTGACACCAGGCGGCAAATCGTTTTCCAGCCAGCAAAACGTAGATGTTAAATAAATCGTTCATCAGTTTTTTACTTAACTCTTCATCAGTTTTATCACCGTGACAATAACGGGACGAACGTGGAAAACCAATTCTACAATTCTATCGAGTAATAAAAGAAATAATGAATGAAAGCAGGTGATTTCAGGAATCACATTCCCCAAATTGTGCAACTCGTATTTGATACATTATTCGTCGCAGTAAATTTCCAGTATTCTTAAAACGTATAATAAGCAAACAAAATTTACTAATAGTATAAATGTCCATTTAGTTTTTTCTTCATATAATTGCAATTAATTTATACATACACCAGCTTAGTTATCAAGATTAATGGAAAACAACTTATAATTTTATTTCTTCTCTTTACTCCCTCCATCTCTCAGTGCTATGTCAAATACAGTACTATTATAATATATATATATAATATATATATATATATTATAATATATATATATATGTGTGTGCTGATGCTGTGTGGGGTGGGGTGTGTGTTAAAATTCGAAGCACTTAATAAACATGTAAAGATTATGATCTACAAAATAGTAATTTATTCAGGAGTACAAACATAAAAAAATAATAAAGAAACTCATTCGAAAACAAACAAAAGCAACGAAAAGAATCAACGAAAACCTATTTTGTGTGCAACTCATTAAAATGACATTACTCACTGTCCTATTAAAATACAATTTTCTTTCAACTAGTACTCAAGATTGACTGCTCACTTTCGGCCTCTGTATACAGAAAACAGATTTACTTTAAATTAGACATGACTTCTCGTTATGTGAATGCCTCCCTTCAGAAATTAGCTAAGTAGATGTAATAGAAATCATGCTTTGTATCAGAAATCACTAATCATGTAATTATCGATCTACATTGCAGCTGAATTGAATTGTTTTCTCTATTTATAATTTGTAAAACGTGCTGAATCAATCATCAAATTTCATGAGCTCAAACATCGCGCAAAAACTCTATCCACGATGCTAATTTATTCCACCCGTAGATACCATTACACGTAAGAAGCATTTTAAGAAGTCGACAAAAACATTTTGTAAATTTATACGTACGTTGATTTACACGAGCCAAAAAACAAAATTTGTAGATAGGACTACTTGCGAAGCGAAATGGATGTGTTGCTCAAATTCATCAAAGATAATCTACTTAACATTGTAAATCAATGAAAGTAATTGAAAGTTTGTTGAAAACTACACTTTTCGCGAAAAAAATATTGATTTGGGGGGACACGGAATATCTACCCAAACTGAAGAACAATATCGAGATACCACTCATTAAAATGAATAGTATAAGTTAATCAGTTGATACTGATATGAACTAAAATTTTACCAATTTCACGCATCATCTTGTGTACCTTTACGATTTTAAGATTTCAAAATTTTTATCTCGAAATTTGTAAACATTCTTTCTTAACAACCCACTGTGTTAAAATAAAAAAATAATAAAATAACAAAAAAAGAGGTTGGAGTTTGCCCTTGGGCCTCAGTTTGGCCTCCCCTGATTTACTCGTATATTGTGTGTGCGCAAAAAAAAAGGGACACAAACATCGCAATTTGTTTTGAAAGTGAAGAAATATGTCTAGAATATACAACATTTTGACTAATAAATAAAAACTTTATAGAGATGATTTTCAAGATAGCTGTTAGAAGTACACAGAAAACGCTTAGCAAAATAAACGACTCCGCTAAGGTTAAAAAGGTTTTTTTTAGAAAAATGGTAATGATTTAAAAATGTTACTTTTCTAGAAGCTTCAAGTAGAACGATTCAGACGATGCGCCTCGGCTGTGGAACGAACGCCGGTTCTCTCGTTAAAGTCTCCGTACGCGCCGTAGCTACTTGTTGAGCTGTTTAGGTTCTCTTCAAACTCGCGCTCTTCGATATTACAGTATTCCCCCCAGGCACATCCTCGCACGAATTGCTAAGCAGGCAACAGGCAGTGAAACCGGACGAGCAGGTAGATAATGACTAACGATCTATACCACATAGTATCTTCCGTCATTTAGAGGCGAACAGCGCCGTTCAGGAAGCGATAGGCAAAGCAAACTCGGGGTTTATTTGAATGAGACTCCCACCAGTCGAATAGATACGTTCGCCGCCTTCTTCAAAAGACGCTACTGGCCTATTGTGTATGCAACGAACTCGTATCAGAGTATACAAACACGCTTAGGTCCTGCTGGACGATTCTAAGAGAATTATGAATGAACAGGAAAATCTTACAAACCAACAGGCGCTTTTCAATGAAATCGTAGAGTAGAGCATTGGTCTAAGCATAAAAAAGAAACCATGCGATATGAATAGTTTACCGGCTGAAATCGCGTAGAATCCAAGTTGTTCTGCGAAACTATCAACGATTTCGTACCTCAGCCGACGTACGAAATTTACTCCTTTCGTTTCAGCAACTTATTCACTCTTAACTAACGAGAAGAGTGCAAAATTCACATAACTTCAAAAATAATCACATGACGCATCACATGTCTAGTTTAGGTGTACATTTTCACACGTACATCATTTCTGGTGTAATTCCAGTACAGATGAAAGTCACACGTCTAATATGCATATCACACGATCACATCCAACTTCGCACTTCTAAGGAACTCCCGCAATAAAAAAACGCCACCTACCTTCAGCAGCCAACAGGCAGACGCCCAACAGCACAACCAGCATCGCCCAACGCACCACGCCTGCCATCGCCATCACAACAGAATCACCACCGGGAGACACGAAACTTCGAAACTCGATCTATCTGCTTCTCTCAACACTGCCAGCGGCCCGCCACTTTACACGTGCTAGCAACCACCGTCGACCCTGCCTCGAACGCGACTGCCGCGAGCCCGCGCCAAGCCGCGCCGCGCGCCGCCGCCACCGACCGCGCTGCCGGTCACACCGCGCGGCGCGCCCGCGCATGCGCCCTGCGCACAGCCCGGCCGAGGAGCGGCGCGGGCTTTTCAAACGCGCGGACGCGGCGACACCGAACTCCCTTCGCAGACCTTATACATTTTATGTGCTGTATGATGAATAACGTACTCATTAATGAGTGTAAGAGATGGAGGAGATTTACCTTATAACGTCCCTCTCCACCCTGATCAGGAAATACAATTTCCATTTGACTTCCATTCTAAGAACGTAAAAGTAGAATGATCCTAAGCGAATGACGATTATGCTGATTGGTGAAGTACAAGAATGTGATGTTGTTACGATGGAATATGTTATTGGAAATACTTTAAATCGCACGAAAGCGTCAACACCGGAATATCTTAATATATTTTCACATTGCTTTACCTTGTGATATAAGACGAATGCCTTACTTTCTTCTGAGGTAGTAGAGCCTTACTCAGTTGTGAGGAAGTAGGAACATACGTATTTCTGTAGGTGAGGGAGAAGAGTTATTACGTGTTCTGCCCTTCACTAGGCAAGTAATCACAGAGGCAATTTGCCTTTGACGTCCAGTTTAAGGATGGCAGGGGTCGCCCACCCTAGGAGGATAAATGATAATGATAGATTAATGTTAATGGATGGGTTGAAGTTCCGTTGCGCACTTGCGTAGCCGAGTGCTATGAAGTGTGCTCTCTCTAGCTCGCATTCGTCGCTTTTGAGCGAGCTTTCCCTCAATTGCAGCCGCCGCCTCGAAGTCTACAATTAGTGCGGTCCTGCCCAGCGGGAGCACCAGGTCCTGTCGTAGTTCGAATCACTACCTGGTTTTCTCGGGGCACCTGCCCCACCGCCGCGATGGCTGCCTCTTTGTAAATTGATCCAATGTGGTCATGGCGGGCGAGAAGTAACGGCACTCCGTCATCACGTGGCCAATTGTCTCGACTACCCGATGACCATCAGGCCATGTGCATTCAATGCAGCTCACGCTGGTGGTATTACCGGGGCAGTGGTTGAGAGACGGGGAAGAATTTATTTTATTCTCGCTGGAAACAGAAATTTATACACCGGAATCCGCGTGTTGCTGCCGAATTGAATAAAATAGATGGATTCCTTCCCCACCCCCTCTTGGGGAACTTGCATTTATTCCTTGTGTTACCAGACCGAGCCATTGCTGGGCGTGCGTCTCATGAAAAGAGTAGCGTAAGAGTCTCGCTATCCATGAACGGTCTTTGGCCCGTATCGTTTCTCGGCCATCTCCCCCTCTCCTTCGGCGGCTTGCGGGCTGTCCGTGGGGGAATCGTCAGGCACCTGTGCTGCAGGATAGTTAGTGTCGAAAATCAACAATCGTCGGAACTCGAATCCTAATCCTTCTGGCCAGACCCACTGTATTCGGAGGCAATGCTGGCTCTGAGGTAAACTCAACCAATGTGTAGATGGTATGTGTGGTGGTATGAGAAGTCAATCAAAGCCAAAACCACGTAGCGAGAACGTTCGTATATGACGTGATACTCAGTCTTTGTCTCCGGGTTCTTGCTCCAAATTCTTCTACCGCCTAGGCCCGCTTTTAACAAAACCTTGTGGAAAAATTTGGGTCATAGAAGAAACATACAAAAATTCAGACATAAGAAACATACAAAGATTTTGGAAAAATGGTGTTGCAGAAGAATGTTGGAAAGAATGTTCAAAGATATTACGAATTATGAGGACTTTGAAAGAGACTGATACTTTAGGAATATTTTAAAACAAGAAAAGCAAAATTAATTCGACACACGGCCTGACTAATTTTTGACATCAATAGCCTAATTTAAATAATTATAATGAAAAATATTATAAAAGGTTGACGGAGTAAATAAGAATGAAAGAGAAAATAATGGGAAATATCACAACGATCAGCTAAAAGAAGGGGATATAAAGAATATCAAGACAAACTTTTTTATTACAAGCTGAAAAGAATGTGCACTCCAGAGGTAAGGAGCCGCTGCCAAATTTTTACCTGCTGGTCAAAGAAAAACACACACGAGAGGAGGAGGAGTAAAAGGAAAAACAAGAAGCTAAATCATCAGAATACTTTTTCGAAAAACTAAGCATTCTCGCCGATGCCACCTGTTTGCCAGATATTTCACTTGGTTATAGCTACGAGTATTACAATTATTTTTTATATAAGTATCATAGCAAGGTGCTCAGATTGATGAGCCATAAACATGATAGATCTCACCATAATCCTTCAAAAAATGAAGATGTCTGATATGTGTCATTCTTGTGCACCAACGATTTATAAAAAAAGAACTTCAAATGTGAATAGCAAATAAAGAAATACCACAACGATGGTGAACTTTCCAGTACTCCGAGAAGAAGGTCATAAAAAGGAGAAAACAGCCAGAATAGAGCTTGCACACGTTTGCCCCGGTGGTATTTCTCTGAGGAGACTGCGCTAGCTGACCCACGCTGATGACTCATAGCGGCTGAGCCCCACGACGACTTGCAGCTGAGCTTTTCATCAGCAAAAAGTCAAAGTGTTACAATGTGCAACCAAATGACTCACTATTTCCCAGGTAAAGTGATGAAAGATAAACTATTGAATTATTCTTTAAATTTATTTCACCAGATTGATTTGTCTTAATTTTTACTTTGTATTATAACACGGCATTTATTTAGTATTACTAGACAGCCATACATTGTTTGTGACATATAATGTAATCCATAATGTGACGTAAGGGGTTGTCCTTTTATAACGTATTGCTGTTTACTAAAACCAAATATAGGAGTTATAATAATATATACTATTGAGCTGAATCTATGAAAAGTGTGCCAGTGTTTTGTAAAAACTGTCAAAATCGAAATAAGTTAACGACTTTGTAAAAATTACAGAAAATATGTTTGGTAATTGTAGTCTATTTGTAATAATGATTTTATTTTCATTACGAAAATAGTAACGTTATTTCTTACATATTCCCTTCCGAAACCCTCCTATATCTTCAATTGGTTAGATTTCATTAGCTTATTCCATTATGTGGAAAGCAATAACCAACTGTTTTCATTACTTGTGTTATTGTCATTTAGGGATAAATATTGATTGAATCAGTATTTCAATAACATTTAATTATTTTTTAAGTTTAGGAAGTACATTTTTCGTAAAATGTATTCTAAAATTTCATATCAAAGAGGAATGTAATTTTTACAATCATTATTCTTTTCATTGTGTTTACAACCAATACATGTATTTAGAAAATGAAGTTTGTACAACATTGATCGTCAAATAATAATTGACGGTTCATGATTAATAACAATTTTAGAATTAACACCATACATTCTTAATTTCGACAGAACATATTTTGTTTTAATTAGTGGCGTATTGCAGCAAAAATATTACTAAAAAACAAAAAAAAAGTTTCAAAACATATCCACACACATTTCTCAAGAACAATAAATATAATACTCTCGTATAACATTTCCAAAACCTAAATGCTTGAAATAAAACATTTTTTCACAAATAACACACACATTTTCATTACATTTTTTAAAAGTTTTGTTTTACGTCAATTTAAACACTGTGTGCCGTCAAAACAATTTAAGCACTGTGCCGTGCGGGGAGAAGTGCATTCTGTGCACGTATCTTAATTCTGGGATCCCTACCCTTTACCACATACAAGTTTAATTTTGAACACAGAAAGAAATTAGCGCTTTTCGCAAGAATTGTTACCAAATATTTGCTCCGATGTAATACAATCTAATTTCAAAGGCAATTTAGCTCTATATTTGGGTTCATATCCTTCATCATGTCTTTCGTGAAATAATATACTACTTCCACAACACATAATACAGTGAATCCGATACATAGTTCAACATACCAAGAATATCAAAATAGTTGCTGTTCCTAAACGGAAAACGTAAATAGTAAATATTGGGCGACCTTTTCCTTGGTGCCTTTCTGTCGCATGACGTCAGCTGTGCTGTAAGTAGTGACGCTCTGAGTATGAGAATTCAGTGGGTAAGATAAGAACACATCAAGCATTTGGCTTTTTTTTCAGTCAACATCGAAATATTTATTGTTTTTAATTTTCCCAAGTTCTCGAATGTCTAACAAAAACGTAGACTCTTCTCACATGGGTATAGGCTGCGTAACTTTCTGTCAATTTATGAGTACATTTGAAATTAGTAACATAGATTTTCATTTTCCTAAAAATAAATCTCAATTGTAATTCAAGATGAGGTGTTGTAATACACGTACACTTATACAGTACTCACAAGAAACGTCGAATGCGTTGGTTAATACTATTTTATTATACGATGAATATTAGTGGGCTTCTAATTGCGAGACTAAATTGTGAATCAACGAGACAGTAAGTGAATTGATTAACCAGCCGAGAGCTTAAAAACGCTTAGATTCCGAGAATAAAACAATGTTTTATTTATTATAACGTTGCAATAATGGAAACTATTTTTTTATTATACGAGTTGTAAAGTTGCACTTTACACTATTTTTTCAAAAAACCACAGTGGCTTAATTTTTCTTTAAAGTCAAGAATACAAATCAGTTAATTAGGCACCATGTTACATTTGATCAGAGGAATGTATTTTGTTTTCTTTGTTGCATCCATAGTTTTACATGAAACAGGATCGTCTCATTTTTAGCACTAGTGATAAACATTGAACTTTTAGCCCGCTGTACATGACCTAAAAGTAATCGACTTTACTTCTGAGAGTATAAAAAAGATCTGAGAAATATATATATATATATATATATATATATATATATTATATATCATATATATATATATTGGTTTAAAGTTTTAAAGTAGCAGTGTCGACCGTCGTTTCTACGTGGTTGTTAGTACCGTGCTAAATAACAGAAAACACCATAAGAGGCTACTTGCTTGCAAGTGAACAGGTCGTTCAGTATGAATATAAAAGTAGCGGAAAGTTACATACATACTCTCCGGAAAGGA